AGCTGATTTTCCAGAGATCGAAAGATTTCTTTTTACACATGCCCTTTGTGGATTTAATGAGAGAAGGAGAGAAAAGCATATGCTTAAATGCCTGGGGGCAACTATAACAAAGGAAGAAATTACAGTTTATTAACGTAATTCCAGCACTCATAACATATTGCTTGCTCTAAATATCCCCAAAATAACATGCACTACACAATCAAATCTCTGTAACTAATATGCTTATAGACTTTCTGAGGGTGATACTTACTAACTAAATAATGGTCAAAATAATAGCTAACATTTAGACATCTGCTTTTAAAAGAAGCATCCCTTCCACCTGCTTCTACAGGCCACAAAGATACACTCTAGTTAACATATTACTGACAGGATGATGAGAAAGCTCCTGTCAGATGCTGGCCAGCCGGGTGTTTGAGACAAAATGCACAGCCCCAGCTGACTAGTTAGAGAAAGTCTGGTGAGGTACAATTATAGAGGCATATGACAAGGCTTCATGCCTGACTGATTTGAGAACCAATGACACGGCTTTAAACAGCAATCCTCCCTACCTATGGTCACAAAACAGCAGTAAGTCAACTGATACACCCTTGTTATATCATGATTTATGCCTCTGCTTTGAATACACGAGACTCTAATACAATGTTCTGCTAGTCTACCAAGATTCACTTGGGGCTTAAACATCTATTGCCTACCTACAGCATGGATAAAATCAATGTTCTTGTTCAGAATTACCAGAAACCTTTCCATGTGTACTTGACAATGTATAAATCAACAGAATAACGTATGAATCAACAGAATAAAAACAAAACTGATTATGTCTCAATTCATTAAACTCAAACATGCAAAAATATAACAATACGTACTAACACAATACCACACTTTAAAATATAGGGAGAAAACCTATTAGAATGTTGAAAACATAACAATATTCTTGATATCTGTGCTTACATATCTTAAAATTGTTTAATTTTAAATTTTTTATCTTTTAAAGGTTAAAAATCTTTTTTTTTTTTTTTTTTTTTTTTTGAGTCTCGCTCTGTAACCAAGGCTGATGTGCAATGGCGCGATCTTGGCTCACTGCAACCGCCATCTCCCAGGTTCAAGCGATTCTCTTGCCTCAGCCTCCCAAGTAGCTGGGACTACAGGCGCATGGCACCATGCCTGGCTAATTTTTGTATTTTTAGTAGAGACAATGTTTTGCCATGTTAGCCAGGCTGGTCTCGAACTCCTGACCTCAGGTGATCTGCCCGCCTTGGCCTCCCAAAGTGCTGGGATTACAGGCATCAGCCACTGTGCCCAGCAAGAAATTATCATTTTTAACCACAAACAGCACCTAAAGAAAAGGACCCTCAAGCTAGCTGATTCTCTAATGAGAGTGTCACCACTAAAACCTACAGCAAGCTGTAAGGTTTATAATTATCATTCTATTGTATCTAAGTATGAAAAATCACAATTGTCAAAAAGTGAATACCTGAGACAAACAAAATTTCTGAAACTACAATAGAATTATGAATGTTAGGCCACCTTTACATCTATTCTAAAAATTAAGTTTGGCTGTATACTTAAAAAATTTAAAATGGATAAAACGTAATTCCTAACATTAAGTACATTATAGTCTCCATGATATATAAAAATATAAGAATATAAAAAGCTTAAAACCAAGTAAATTCATTGATAATTATTTCTTCTTTGGATGTTTCAGAGATATCATTAAATTCTTTTTAAAAAATAGTTTACTTTTAATTTATGTTAAGAAACCAGTCCTTGACCTTAAATGCCAGTATGCACAGAATTTATAGCAGATATATTTTATATACTGTATATATAAAATAATTATTCTGCCGAGCACGGTGGCTCATGCCTGTATTTCCAGCACTTTGGGAGGCCGACTTGGGCGGATCACAGGAGATTGAAACCACCCTAGTTAACACGGTGAAACCCCGTCTCTACTAAAAATACAAAAACTTAGCTGGGCATGGTGGCGGGCACCTGTAGTCCCAGCTACTCAGCAGGCTAAGGCAGGAGAATGGCGTGAACCTGGGAGGCGGAGCTTGCAGTGAGCGGAGATCGCGCCACTGCACTCCCGCCTGGGTGACAGGTCGAGACTCTGTCTCAAAAAAAAAAAAAAGAAAGAAAGAAAAAAAAGAATTATTCAAGATAGATTCAAGTAAAGCAGTTTCCTCCACAAAAGAAGACTAAGATCACGAAAGAGAACTTGAATGATGTTTCTTTTATCAGCCCAACAGTCCCAGAGAGTGAACCAAAACAGAGCTGGTAACTTAGAGGTGACATCACCATTTTCATGAACCGTCATAAACGATTGATAGTAAACTGACATCAAACATAGAAAACAGCACCCCCAAAATACTAATCCTTTATGATAGCAATATTTTTTTAAGCCAAATGCTAAATTAAAAGATAATAACGTTAATTTTTACTCTAACTGCAGATGAAGACTATTACAAAATTAAATGTAGAGGCCGGGTAAGGGGGCTCACGCCTGTAATCCCAGCACTTTGGGAGGCCAAGGCGGGTGGATTGCTTAAGGTCAGGAGCTCGAGAACAGCCTGACCAATATAGTGAAACCTCGACTCTAATAAAAATACAAAAACTAGCTGGGTGTGGTGGCAGGCACCTATAGTCCCAGTTATTTGGAAGGCTGAGGTAGAAGAATCACTTGAACCCGGAAGGCAGAGGTTAGAGTGAGCCAAGATTGTGTCACGGCACTCTAGCCTGGGCGACAAAGTGAGACTCTGTCTCAAAAAAAAAAAAAAAAAAAAAAATTAAATGTAAGCTATTATAAAATTGTATCTCGTAATCTCATATACCTCATAATTACTAAACATTTATTCTATGCAGATATCATTCTAAGCACTTCATATATATGTATTTCCTTAATCTTTACATCAACCCTATAAGATTAAGGCTACTATTGCTCCTACTCTACACTTAAAGAAACTGAGTCAAAGAGAGATTACTTGATATAAATTAAAACAAAACACCAATATTTTTCAAAAACATATACTCAGATTTATTTCCAATGCACAAATACAGTAGCTTATGCTTCACTCACATAGCTTATTCCCTCACTTTCTTTGGATCTCTGCTCAAATGCTACCTCACTGAGTTGGGGACAGCGGCGTGTGCCTATAGTCCCAGCTACCAAGGCAGGAGGATCCCTTGAGCTCAGGAGTTTGAGACCAGCCTGGGCAACATAGTAAGATCCTGTCTCAAACAAACAAACAAAATACTACCTCACTGGAGAGGCCTTCCTTACATAAAATGGAAACCTGTCCATCACTTTCTACCCTGTACACACACTCACTTTATCCATTATGTAACCCTAGCTAATAAATAATAGCTATTTGTTTGCTTACTTGTTTGTAATCTGTTTCATGCCAGTCAAATAAGGTTAATGACTAGAAAGTGCCTGGCACATAGTATGTGCCTAATAAACATTTGTTACATGAATTAATCCTGATAAGAATTAGTTCCAAGGCCTATTATACAATCTTTTTAATCTTGAGGACAATATCCATTTAAAAATATCCTTTTTTAATCTTAAAACAATCATGTTTAAAAAATGAGAAGGAGGAGCTGGGGGGAAAGAAGAAGAATGGTTTCACTTCAACAGTAAGTTAAAAAAAGCAGAAAGGCAAATTAAAATATCAAATGAGTCAAACTGAATTTCTTGACATCTCTAAAATGTGTAAGAAAAAAATTACTTGGGTCATTGATTAGTACTTTTTCTCTGATATTACTGCATCATTTATCCACCTTTACTCTTTTAAATGCATATATTTTTCAATATGTAAAGTGCATTTTCAACTTTTAGGGGTGAGCATATCAAATTATAATTCAAAATCTCAAAATCATATTTTTGAGATTTGTGTGAATTATAAATTCATACAAATTATATGTACAATCGTATGTATTTTTTTCAACTGTAGAGTAATGGAAATAACCCAAAAATTAGAATCAAAAGACTCAATTTCACATTATCTGTCTCTAACTAGCTGTTTGGCCTTGAGGTGGTCATTTAATCTTGCTGAAAATACCTTTCTCACTGTTAAATGTTAAACAGATATCCTACAGAAATCCTGAAGCTCCTTCTACTTTAAATGCTAAAATACAGAATAACGTTTTTATTTCTACTATAGAAGAAGAAAACATTAAAAATATTGTTTTATTTATCAATTAATCAAATTTATGAAGAAAATTCATGCAATATTGAATAATGGTTTTTGCTAAATAAATACATCATAGATTACTTAAAACTATATTTAAATTTGTATTTAAAAAATTTAAGTTGAAAATATTAAATTGTTAATGCGTAAATGAGAAAAAATTATAAAATCTAGCAAAATACTTTTGAATATTTTTCTATACCCAAGAAAAATCTTTATCTTCTCACTGCCTTTACCATATTAATAAATACCTTCCAAAAGAACATTTTAGTGAATGTCATAAAACCTGTGATTTATAAAAAATGCTACTTTGACTTTTAAGTTATTATCAGTCTGAAGAGCTGCTCTAAATCAAACTATTATACAATCTACTCCCAAACCACTACTTGGCAACAAAGATGAATCTACCTATTACCAGGTTAGGATAGCAGCTATTATCATGGCCCCTTGATTTCTTTCAAGTAGCTCCAATGGAAAAAGCCACAAGTGAATAATAAAAATCTCATAATAGCTCTTAAGAATTCTTTATATGGTAGAAGGCACTAAAATGAACTCTGGAGAGTCAAAAAGAAAAAAAAAAAAACTCTCAGCTCCTGATAAGAAAAAATAATTAACCTGACTTAATGCATCTGAGAAGGCTTCCTATAAATCAGACTTTTGTACTTCAAGAGCCAGATTAAAACCATATATCAAAAAAGTATGTAGATATTGTCTTCCAAGCACACATAGCACATTTCTAAATCTGCAGAGATTTTTAGGTCTTTTTGTGAAACACTCAATACCTGCTACTTAAAAGAAGTGTGAAGTACTTACAGTGCTTAATTTGCTCGAGGTAATCACGATGCGCCTTTCATGCAGCATACTGGCATACAGCTGCAGCATGTTGTTCACATCCACGGCAACAAAATATTCTGTAAGATTTCTCTGCACAAGTGAAAAATAATTGTGTAAGTTACAGCTCACAGTGAACATGAAGAAAAACATTTTACACATTTACCAGAAAGTCTTGAAGTTCAAAGGATATTATTTAAAATGGTATTCATTAAAATAATTAAGTGTAATACTAGTCTGCTGCCACATAAAGCACATAACACTCTATTATTAGTTGAAACATAACCCTACTCAAGGAAAGTATTTTCAGAGGATGATCAGAAGATCACAGATTTCCCAACTTTCTTACCCACTAAGTATTTGAAAAGAAGCTAATTTCCTGGGCCCCAACCTAGACCTGCTGAATTGTCATCTTTAGTGTATGTCCCCAAGAATCTCCTTTCCTTTTTTTTTTTTTTTTTTTTTTTTTTTTTTTTGGTCACTCAGGCTGGAGTGCAGTGGTGAGATCTTGGCTCACTGCAACCTCCACCTCCCAGGTTCAAGTAATTTTCGTGCCTCAGCCACCAGAGTAGCTAGGATTACAGGTGCACGCCACCACGCCTGGTTAATTTTTGTATTTTTAGTAGCGATGGGGTTTCACCATGTTGGCCAGGTTGGTTTCAAACTCCCGACCTCAGATGATCTGCCTACCTCGGCCTCCCAAAATGCTGGGATTACAGGCATGAGCCACCACACCTGGCCAAGAATCTGCTTTTTAAACAAATACTTCTGGTGATTCTTACATACACTGATGTTCAGAAACTGCTGCCTAGACAATACATTTGAGTCTTTTCATGTTTGCCATTCACTATGCAGGCACAATCATCAACTGATACAACACAGCATGCACGAGGTACCCAAAGGATAAGGTGAATTTATAAAACAGCCCTTTGGTACTTTATTAAGGAAATTCACTTGTTTATACTTCACATCAGGCTTGCTTTATATCCACTATAATCAAATATAATTTGATGATGTTCTAAATTGATTCCTTAATTTAGCACTCTTATTCCTCACATGAAATGAAACTGGGATAAACTACATTAACTTTGACTTTTAGATCTTCTCCTTTCTTATTATTTATTTTTAATTTTCTATAATGAAACAAATAAATCGGAGAGCAACAAGCTAATTAAGGGATTGAATAAGATATAACAAACAAAAACTGTAGTATCAGGTGGGCTATGACCTAGTAGGCTAAAACTTTTAGTTGGGCAAGAATATAAGAAAACCAATTATTTCTTCTATTTCCAGAAGGTAGAAACTTTACCATCACAAATTGGTATTCATGACAGAGCACAACAATAGAACCTGTAACTATCAGTGGGTGATGTTGAATTTGGTGGGAAGAGGTTTATTCCTTTCTTTCTCACCTTCCAATGCAACTCTCCATAAAAAAATTCATGTCATTCAAGATTAGTATATTCCCTATAATCTAAAAGAAAGGTAATTTTTAGATGGGGAATTATTTCTCAACATAGGGTGCTGCCTTATGCTTATTCTCTTGCTTTCGTTTCCCTAAACAGGACTTTTTGCAAAACAAAACATGTTAATAGATATGTAAAAATATATATTCTCAGTGGCAGTTTTTCCTTTGAATGTTTGTTTCTTTGAAACTTTCAAAGCAATCTTCTTTTTAAAATATGACATTTGTTAAATCGAGCTATTAGTTGTTTCTTAGTAAATGTAAGAGAAAGCTAAATAGGAGAGTGAGTAGAAGGAAGCAAATTTGACTTTGAAACTCTGAAGTGAAGGGACAAGGGTCATATAAGTCAAAGCATGGTCAGTCAGCCTTAAAGAAAACATTAACAAGGAGTACCTGGCCCACAATGTACAGCAGTCATGACTTTAGGATCTATTATATAACCTGAGACCTTTGATGATCTATCTCGGCCCATACAAGAAACTTAATGCATAGCCTTTCATAAGGGTTTTTTGGAACCATCTGTACTGAAAACACCATTGATAGTGTTGGTTTGATATCAGACAATTTACGATTGTCTTCTTGGACTTTCTTCACTAACCACATGCTTTTAGAAACCACTCAGTAGGTTTGAAAACATTTGGAAAAACACTAGAATCCCAAAGTAAATAATAAGTATTTATTGAAATACTTTTTTCCTGTTGATTTTTCCGTTACTTTTGATCGAATTATTCCTACTGATTCATTTTAACTTCCCAAGGGAAGCTGAAGAAAAATTACATAAGGGAATATTTCATTTTCACAGTTATCCAAAAATCATAAAAGCATATTTGTTACTTCTACTTATCTATGTAAACATTTCTACATATACTAATTTGTAATAACTATTAAAATCTGAAAATATTTCTAGTATGGCTAGAATTAGGACTTGAAATAAAATGCAAATTTTAGCAATTTTTATAATTTCTTACAATAGCCATCAAACCTTGCAAGATATGTATTACTTTAAATTAAAATCAGGAACTTAAGAACAGTTCATCTATGATTTGAAGCATTATATAGAAGGAATATAAAAATACTATGTCAATTTCACTAAAATAACAATTTGTGTGAAGACATTTCCCATTGCTAGAATTCTTCTCCACAAGTAGAAGCCATCTCCTATGGTATCTCTTCTATCATATACAGTGAAGCTGAAGACCTAACTGAATATATATGATCCTACCTAAAAATGACAGAAATAGTTTTCCTTCTATTATTGTCCTTAATTTTCCTTATCTACAACCAGATACTAAGAAGGTGGTAAAGGGGCAGACATACAAAGAAGAAAAGAAAATAATATCATTATTCCTTATTTCTTCATTATTTCTCACAAACACAGATAATTACAATGTATTCTATTTCTCTATACAAAAATGCACAGTGAGACCAAAATAAACAAAATTCATAATATAGGAATAATTAAAGTAGAAAATAGAAAACTTACACTCTCAGGTATTGTTGGGAGTCCAGTTACATCAGGAGCAATGAAGTAGGAATGCTAATCAACAAAAATAAATCACATATGAAAGATAATTAAAATTGGTAGCATATAATTTGTAATGAAAATCAGAAAAAAATATATTGAGTAAATTAATAAATGCCATTGAATGATATTCAGGATTTGTTGAATTTGAGAGACTCTTAAATGAGTTAGTGGGTTTATATGAGATTTAACAATTGCATTACCATACAAAAAGTTAAGACTTGTTTAAAAATATTTGACCTTAAAATTAAAATAAAAATAGGAAAAATTGTTAAGGCAAAAAAAGAGTATATTACTGAAAGGTTTATTTTGTACATATATACCTACATATGTGTGTGTGTATATATAGTATATATAGACATACACACCTATGCATACATATAAACATACATATTATTAAAACACATTTAGTTGAGGTAGACTGGAAAAATTAAAGCTTGCTAACCAAATATATCAAAATCTATTAAGATTCCTGAGTTTCTATGGTAAGTCACAACAAATCTCTTTTGTAAACATCAACCACCCTATTATTTAGCAAATAGCAATAAAACATAATTTTTCAATGTTTAAAACTTCTTAAACATGTAGTAGTCCCAGAATATGATCGTTACACATCCGCCAAACAAATATTTATGAGCTTCTACAATGTTTAAAGAAGTAAAACAGTTCATCACAATACTTACATAGAGAGTACAATGTGTGTATATGCCTTCATGTTTCCCACAATGTTCCCAAATTTGACCACCCAGAATCAAAGTGCAACTTAATCATCAAAAAATGTTTTATTTTCTGTTCATATTAATCTTCAAAATTATTTTAATATCTTAATCACATAAGGACATATTTAATACTATCTTCTTATTAATGATTAAAAAAGAAACATTTTAGCCAGTATTTGAGCACAGTTGAACTAGTCAGAACAAGGCTAGTTAACACAGTCATAATGTATAATTTTCCAGGGTAGAAGAACAATAGGAGATAAATCACAAGATCTTTTGTGATCTTGAGACCAAAAAATGTGACAAATCTCATGCTGTGAATATACTTTAAAATTACTACTATTGAAAATGGAGAATATGCATAGATTTTGGTGTCTATAAGCTACTTTTATTTGGAATGGTTTTTAATAGTACTATATTTCACAAAACTATGCTTTAAAAGATAGTACAAACAGAAAATACTGTATATTCCAAATGATTAATTTTCTTAAAAGAGTCAAATTTGCCACTTCCCAAAGGGCTGGAGTGAAGCTTAAAGGCATAGTGAAATAAGTGATTATTTTTCCTATTTAATAGTGATTTTTAGAAGCCAATGTCCTTGTAACTCACCGGTATTAGAGCAGGCTGATCTTTCAGAACTTGCTCACAGGCAATAAATATCTCTTGGTTCTTATAATACATGAGAGAAAAAAATGAGTATCTTACTTTCATGGGAGAAGCTCACACAACAATTCGCTGTGTAATTGAGACAAACCCATGTAGCCAAATTAGCCACTAAAAAGTACTTGAATAACACTAATTATAAATATTATTTTAAATGCTGATTTACTAATTTTATGCTAGAAAAATCCTAATGAAAGTATTTTCATATTACAAGAGTAGAGAATGCTGTGGATATTTAATGAAATGTTTCAAAAAAAGCATTCTCATTAGACATTAACTTTTTATAAAAATCTCTGATTACTAGTGGCCATTATCCACTTGTACAGGAAGAAAAACTTCCATAATCATTCATTTTAATCTGGCATCATAAAACTAAAATCTCCTCTAGTAGCTGAAGACAGTGTCCTAGTCCCCAATTTGCCACTTATTTAACAGCATAACACCAGATACATTACTTTAGGAGTCTGTTATTGAAATCAAATGCAATTAATTAATCATGGTAAACAAACATAACAGCTGATTTTATCCATACCTAAGGTAAACAAACATAACAGCTGATTTTATCAATACTTAAGATATTATAACTAGGCTGGGTGCAGTGGCTCACGCCTGTAATTCCAGCACTTTGGGAGGCCATGGCGGGTAGAATACCTGAGGTCAAGAGTTTGAGACCAGCCTGACCAACATGGTGAAACTCCATCTCTACTAAAAATACAAAATTAGCCCAGTGTGGTGGTGGGCACCTGTAATTCCAGCTACTTGGGAAGCCGAGGCAGGAGAATCGCTCAAAACCGGAGGCAGAGTATGCACTGAGCCGAGATTGCGCCATAGCTTTCCAGCCTGGGCAACAAGAGCGAAACTCCACTTCAAAAAAAAAAAAAAAATTGTAACTTTAGAATAGGTATACAAGACTTGAAACTATCAGACTATTAATTCAAGTGCATATAAGAAGGCTTAATTATGGAAATAACTATTATACATAGGAACAGAACACAGTCACTCAATTTCCTTTGACAAGATTATTTCAGCTACAATTTAGTTATTTCAGAAGAAAGTATTTTCTCCAGATGGGATGAAACTTCAATTTACTACAACCAACACCCGAATAGTTCTTCATGGTACATCCAGACATATCATTTTATTTGATTACTAAAACAACTTTCTGAAAAGTTGACATGCTCAATTTCTCAAATGGAAAAAAAGGATCATCTAAAGACATTAACTTTCTTGGCTAACATTACACATTTAGTGACTGTGACTTAACCTAAAATCTTCTAATCATAGGTAAAAAGGTGTAGAAATCTTTAATTTATGATTCTTATTAACAAAGATGAAGTGTTTCAATAGCTGGTATTTTTGAGATGTATTTTTGTAAGATATTTATTTACCCCCGAACAAATATGATACTCAAATTTAAAGGGAGAACACATTTGTATTTCTCATTAATGCCACCTCCATTGTCTTAGCACCTTTATTTTCCTTAACTCTTTAACAGTATTAGAATCATTTTATAAATATAACACTTTCAAAGAGAAATGGTCATTTTTTTGGAAAATACCAGGTTCTTCTTTATTCTCCTTGACCTTTCCCTTGGCATTTCTACTGTATTTCCACTGAGCACAAACCTTGCATTCTTTGGGTGTCAGTGACCTGTAAGTCTAAGTTTCTTCTTAACTGCTCTTTCCTCCAATTCTTTCACTGGATCTCCTTTCTTTTTCCCTATAGTCTATTTGGGCAATTAGAACTTAGCCTCTGTTCTATGCTCTTCTATATTTTATTCTTCAAATAGCTACAACTATGTCCACTGCTGACTCTCAAATTTGGGTTAAAAATTCCAGGTTATTCTTAGTTTTTTTATCACCCAGTCTACAAATGACTATTAAACCTTTCCACTTTGACAGTGTGCAACAAAAGAAGATGCAGACATAAAGCGGCAGAGAGGGTCACGGGAAAGAAAAAACACGTTAAGTTGTATGACAAGAGGTTTCACAAAGTTGAAGACTGAGCAAGTTCTAGACTAACAACACAGTCAACAAAGAGGCTTTAGTCCAAAAGGAAAGCATGATGTTCATTAAAGAAGCTGAAAAAAACAATGCGACCAGAATACAGAGGGAAAATTGAAAGTTGGATTGAATCTAAGAAATGGATGGTCCTGAAAGCATGGCCAAAGTTTGGACAACTTTTATAGAAAAGGGGAAGCTACAAAAGGTTTTCAGCAGGGGACTTTACATAGTTTAACTAAGTGTAATCTGACAGTCTTTTGTAGAAAGGACTGGAAGGAGAGGCTCTAGACTAAGAACTCTTTGAAGTACTAAGCAACAGAACTAAGGTGCTAACCACCTTAGTCTACTACAAAATAGTAGTGGTTAAAGAATGGAATAATGTAAGAGAACACTACTATGACATGAAATCACAGGATGAAATTTGGGTAAGACACATGGACCAATGGAACAAAATAGAGAACCCAGAAATAAACCCAAATACTAACAGCCAACTGATCTTCGACAAAGCAGACAAAAACATAAAGTAGAGAAATGACACCCTTTTCAACAAATGATGCTGAGATAATTGGCTAGCCACATGTAGGAGAATGAAACTGGATCCTCATCTCTCAGTTTATACAAAAACCAATTCAAGATGGATTAAGGACTTAAATCTAAGATCTGAAACTATAAAAATTCTAGAATACAACATTGGAAAAATCCTTCTAGACATTGGCTTAGGCAAGGATTTCATGACCAATAAACCAAAAACAAATGCAATAAAAATAAAGATAAATAGTTGGGACTTAATTAAACTAAAGAGCTTTTGCAGGGCAAAAGGTGCAGTAAGCAGAGTAAATAGACAACACACAGAATGGGAGAAAATTTTCACAGTCTATATATCTGACAAAGGACTACTGTCAAGAATCTACAATGAATTCAAACAAATCAGTAAGAAGAAACAATCCCATTAAAAAGTGAGCTAAGGACACGAATAGACAATTCTCAAAAGAAGATATTCAAACGACCAAGAAACATATGAAAAAAAAGCTCAGCATCACTAATGAATCAGGGAAATGCAAATCAAAACCACAATGTGATACCACCCTACTTTTGCAAGAAAGGCCATAATCAAAAAATCAAAATACTTCTGTAAACATCAGCCACCGTATTATTTAGCAAACAGCAATAAAACATAATTTTTCAGTGTTTAAAACTCCTTAAACATGTAGGTATCCCAAAATATGATCCTCACACATCTACTAAACAAATATTAAACTGATCATCTGATCACTGCATCTGCGTCAATAATAGATGTTGGCCTGGATGCGGTGATCAGAGAACACTGCTGGGGGGAATATAAACTACACTCTACACTTCTACAGTGTAGAACATTCTACACTGCTGGGGGGAATATAAACTAGTACAGCCACTATGGAAAACAGTGTTGAGATTCCTTCCAGAACTAAAAGTAGAACTACCATTTGATCTAGCAATCCCAGTGCTGGGTATCTATCAAGAGGAAAAAGGTCATTAAATGAAAAAGATACTTGCACACGCATGTTTATAGCAGCACAATTCACAACCGCAAAATCGTGGAATCAACCCAAATGTTCAGCAATCAACAAGTGGATAAAGAAACTGTGATACTACTCAGCCATAAAAAGGAATGAATTAACAGCATTTGTAGCGATTTGGATGAGACTGGAGACTATTATTTTAAGTGAAGTACCTCAGGAATGGAAAACCAAACATTGTATGTTCTCAATGATATGTGGAAGCTATGAGGATGCAAAAGCATAAGAATGATATAATGGACTTTGGGGACTTGAGGGGAAGAGTGGGAGGGAGGGTGAGGGATAAAGGCTACAAATATGGTGTAGTGTATACTGCTAGGGTGATGGGTGCACCAAAATATCACAAACCACCACTAAAGAACTTACTCATGTAACCAAATACCACCTGGACCCCAATAACTTATGGAAAAATTTAAAAATTAATTAATTTTTAAAAACAGGAAAGCTATTACCAAAGAAAATATAATAACAACTTCCCTGTCTCATAAAAACACAAAAGACTTATTATTATATATACTTTGAGTTAGCTTTTCTCTCATTTTCTCTTGCAACATTATACTTCTTTATTAAGAAAATTTTATTATTTTAGAAGAAAAAAATTAATATAAATAAATTTTAATAGTCTAGCCCATATGCCAAATCCATGAAGAAAATTAATAAAAACATCCATATTTTATTATCTTGAACTTTGGGCATTTACAAAAACTCCCAAAACGTGAGTGTTTTTGTATACAGATGGTACACTTCATTAAAAAGTTTCAATAGTACAATAAATCCCGTTTCAGGCTTGCTGTCTGACAAACAGCAATTCAATCATATTTCCAGTAGTTTGTGATAATACCAGAAGATACATTAATGTATAGAGAAAGAAGACGAAACTTTTCACCCAGAATTTTTATCACATATTTATATGTTATATGTCATTTTCTATTCTTACTAAGTGCTGTTTTCATTTTAGGAGGGTTATTAAGCATGTGTGTATATTCCTTTATTATGCACAAATTTCACCTGAAAATCAATGCTTCTTTTTTTTCTTTGTTTTGAGATGGAGTCTAGCTCTGTCTCCCAGGCTGGAGTGCAGTTGTGCAGTGGCGCGATCTCGGCTCACTGCAAGCTCCACCTCCCCGGTTCATGCCATTCTCCTGCCTCAGCCTCCCAAGTGGCTGAGACTACAGGCGCCCACCACCACGCCTGGCTAATTTTCTGTATTTTTAGTAGAGACGCGGTTTCACCGTGTTAGCCAGGATGGTCTCAATCTCCTGACCTCATGATCCACTCGCCTCGGCTTCTCAAAGTGCTGGGATTACAGGCGTGAACCACCGTGCCCAGCCAAATCAATGTTTCTTAGAAGTGAAATATCCTCATAGATTTGGTCACTTTTAGTTTATAATAAAATTTTTTAAATTCAATAATTTAACAAAATTATAAAAATACACACCCAATATATCAACTTATGATAGTTACAGCACGTTAAAAATACACAATATTATCACCTTGTTATGTTAGTACTAGCAATGAAGTTTTCCTGGAAGCAGAGATGACTTGGCAAAGAATTGCCTGAAGGTTCACATGCTCTTAACGAAATTGAGACATAGCTATGACTCTCAAAAACAATTACTGATTGAATACTTACCACACTCAAATTTACAGGAGTATTTGCCTTTGGTACTGGGTGGTTATACAGTGATTTGAGAGTTTCATTCAAATCATTTTCCTAGGGCAAAAGAAAAAGTACATTTTATAAATAAAACATATACCAAGCAACTGCCATTAAAACTACTTGATAAAATAGTCTACTGTGGCTTTTCATATTTGACATATTTTATATAAATGTTTTCCACAGAAACATTTCAAATAACTGAAATTCAAATATGTGAGTCTAATAAATACGAAAACATATTTGAATTCCTTTATCCAGAAGAAAAATGGCAATATTTCTATTTAGTATAAATGTATATTTGAAAAACTTAGTTATTATAAAATATACTAATGCTATAAAAGGAAATTATCTAAATCATTAAATCCAGCAAGAACAATGGGATTGAATAAAAATAGTAATACACCTTTTTATCAGATCACAGAGTACTCTCATTTTCCACTTTCATTTTAAAATCCCAAAGCAATTTTTAAGGAATAGAAACAATTTAAGTAAGATTATTGCACTAAAATGGAATATACAGGTTATTCTAAATATTTCTTTTCTACATTGCTACTGGTCACTACTTGATCCACAATAAATGGGATTAAATAAAACATACAGCAAATGTACTTCATAGGATTTGTATAATAATAATGTGCCTTGATGTGCACCCTCAATTTTTCTGCATCACACACTACAAATCCAGTAATAAATATACAAAGATTTTTATAGACATAATTATCCTTTTTCTCTATTTTCACGTTGGAGAGAATAAATCAAAGGAAAAGGCAATTGTTCAGAGAAGTTAGCAATTTTAGTAAGTTTGGATATGAGACTTAGCTTTCTCACGATCTTTCTTATGCCTTGTCTATCCATTTATACCAAAACTTAATAAATCAGATCTCTGTAACTACTTTCAAAAGTATTCATTCAAAACTACCTATTTGAAATACTCTTCAGAATAACATGAAAAGCCATAAACAATTTATCTCTTCATCATTTAAACAACGAAATGTATCAGAGAATACTGTAGATAATACCAATCACCTTTGTAAAAAAGACTCATACGGTTATGTCTTAGAATTACCTTGTAGAAGGACTGCGAAATAAACAATTTATCTCTTGGGCTGTTAAACAATGAAGTGCACCATAGAAAATTGTGGAACATATTGATACTCTGTTTATACAAAATTCCTACAGGTACAAAAATTTTTAGACTAGTTTTTAAAAATCTGTTGCACTCTCTTACATTGATCAGGTAAGGATAACTTGAACTGTAAACGTTATTTAAATAACCCATGGCAGTGAATTGGAAATGAACAGAAAAAAGTACTACAATTCCAGATTTACTTCTGGTTTAATTAATGTTATAAACTTGTAATATTTCTTCCTCAAATAAGGAACACAAATGGAACCTCCCCTATTTCTTCTTCTCAGAAAGCCAAAATTATATAAATTTGCTTATACCTATTTTCTTTTACATATTCCAGTATTACTGATGGCATCAGGGAAAAAAAATGATACACAGTATGGAGATAGTAATAGTTTATCAGTAAGAGTTACTAAAAGTTACTAAATAAAGCAAAAGTAATCAAAATTTGGACAAGTAATATAATTAATGTGAATTCCACATGTACATTCACAAAAACAAAGAACAAGAAATTATCATGAATAATTTAACCAGAATTCCGGTTTTGACTTTTGATTGCAAAAAAATAAATAGTTGTATTTCCAGTTTTATTTTCTTAGGCAAGTGAATGACTGTACAGCTTCAACATAAAATTATTCAACTGTAAAATGATGTTAACATATACTTCATAGAATTAAGCAATCAAATACATAGAAAAAAATATTTACATGCATGAACACATACACGTAAACAACTAGACTTTTGACAAACATTAAAACTTGCAATTACGTTATAAAAAATTTGGTTGACAAATTTAGAAGAGTAAAAGGACTACCTTAATTTATTAATAACACATTTAAATCCTATTTATATAAATAATACCTCCCTTACTTTCCAAGTGACAGAACTGATTATCTGACTTATAAACACTGTACTTTAATCAAAGTCACAAGGGTATTAGAAAATAAAACTTAGGCCGGGAGTGGTGGCTCCCACCTGTAATCCTCAGCACTTTGGCAGGCCGAGGTGGGTGGATCAAGAGGTCAGGAGTTTGAGATCAGCCTGGCCAATACAGTGAAACTCCGTCTCTACTAAAAATATAAAAATTAGCCAGGCGTGGTGGTGCATGCCTGTAGTCCCAGCTACTTGGGAGAGTGAGGCAGAAGAATCGCTTGAACCCAGGAGGTGGAGGTTGCAGTGAGATGAGATTATACCACTGCACTTCAGCCTAGGGGATAGAGCATGACTCCGTCTCAAAAAAAAAAAAAAAAAAAAAAAAAGTAGAATTTAAATCCAGGATTTCAGGGTTCAAACCACATTGCCAAAAGTCCAGTTACATTTGTACTACCAATACTGCATTAAGCTTCCTGGGAACATTTATAAAGATTTAATTCTAAGGTGACCACACTCACCTTTATTTGGGACTACCACCACTTAAGGCAAATGAAGGATTTCAGCTGATTTATTAAAACCATTAATTTTTATTCTTACAAGCTTATTTTCAAATATAGTCTGTATCCATGTTTAACATAGTGCCTGTTTCACCATACTGGGCAGACAGAAATGTCTACACCATTTTAATTGAACTGTATCTACCAAGGCTATATAATTTTTAAAAATTAAATAACAACTCAAAATACTATGCCCAGGAGGATATTTTGCTCCAGATTCAGTCAATAGAACTTTTAAAATGATGTAAAGAAATAAATGATTGTATACTGAAAAGCTGAAAATAAGCTTCTCCTACGGAAAAATTTAGGGTGAGGAAAATAACATTCTGTCTTACTATATTCCTATTTTAAAAATTCCATCAACAATTTTGTCGATGATTGCCTTTAAAGCACTGGCATACAGAATCCAGTGAACAAAAAAATCACAATAGCTGGATATTAGTTTCTACAATTATAAAATGGAGATCCAAAAACTGAATATTCGAAACTTTCTAATGTATTTTTACTTATTCTACACCTTTTGACTCAACATCTATTTGCTATGGGAGACACAGAGATAGAACAGTTCCATCTCTCAATTATTACTTTAGTTGTGCAGACACAGTTACAACCCAGTGTAAATGCTCTGAAACCTACAGAAAGTATCACCTAACTTAACCTGGAGAGTCAGGAAAAGTCTCTAGAGAAGTACCTGTGCTGACATTAGGTTTGTTTCAAAAGATAGTTATATTAACTCTTAAAAGACAAGTATTCTACCAGTAACAATTAGTGAGTGGTTTGTAATCTTGACAGACAACTGTATAGAGTTATGTTCTGGGAAATTTAAGTGGCTCAAAATAATTAGATAGTACATTATATGCAGTTATGTTCTGGGAAATTTAAGTGGTTCAAAATAATTAGATAGTACATTATGTGCAGCAGATGAGCAGGAGTAGATTAATCCAAAGAGAAGGTCAGATGCCAGATCATAAAGTTATTATACGTCATGCTGCAAACAAGTTTAAATTTTATTCTAAGAAAAAGAGGAGACTATGAAGCGATTGTAAGCAGTGGAATAACATCAACTTCCAGAAAGTTCATCTTAAACAGAAAAGAGTGGTATGTAGACAAAGAGTGTGTCTGAAATACCCATAAATAGTATCTAGAGAAAAGAGAATCAAGAATATAACATAAATAACATCAACATTTTAGGTGTAGACGGAGAAAAAAGGCCCAAGAGAGAAGCTGAGGACATAAGTAAAACGAAGAAGAGACAATGTCAGGGAAATCAAGAAAAACACAATGTCAAGAATGACAGAGTACCATATAAGAATTTAAACAGATAACAAGTGAATGGAAAGCACACCCTAAATGTAAAAATTAATAGATAATAGACAATTATAAAGAATTTTAAAAACATATTTTATTTCAATTAAATTGTATCAAATAGCATAGCTAATATTTTAGTAAATTAGCTCTTGTTAAAAACATCAAAGAATGGCTAGGCTTGGTAGATGGGAAGCAGAGGCAGGAAGATCCCTTGAGGCCAAGAATTTGAGACCAGCCTAAGCAACATAGTGAGAATCTATCTGTACAAAAAAATTTAAAAATTAGCTATTTGTGGTGGCACACACCCATAGCTCCAGCTAACTGAAAGAATGAGGTGAGTGGATTGCTTGATCCTAGGAGACTGAAGCTGCAGTGACTGATGATTGCACCACAGCGCTCCAGCTCTGGGCAACAGAGCAAGACTCTGTCTCCAAAAAAAATTTTTTTTAGAATCAAAGATTAAGGGAAAAATTTTTAAATCATTATCCCAGAGAAGTTTGTTCATTCAAAAGCAAACTTCAGCTTTTATTTCTATTTTTAAGAAAAAAAAAGCATACAGACTTTTATTGAGAGCTAAAACTATAAAATTCTTAGAAGAAAACATATGAAGAAAGCTTTGAAACAATGAATTTGGAAAAGATTTCTTGGCTACGACACCAAAAACACAGGTAACAAAAGAAAAAGCAGATAAATTGGACTTCATTAAAATTAAAAACTTTTGTGCATCAAGTAACACTATCAAAAGAACAAAAGGGCAGGCAAACCATGGATTGGGATAGAATACTCGCAAATCATCTATCTAATAAGAAATGAATATTTGACTATATGAAGAACTCCTACAATTCATCAACAAAAAACGCAACATGATTTTAAAATGGGCAAAGGACTTGAACAGACCTTCTACAACTTTTGACTCAATACCTATTTGCTACTGGAGACACAGAGATAGAAGACTTCCAACAAGTACTCCTCTAGAGACTTTTCCTGACTATCCAGGTTGACTTAGGTGATGCTTGTTGTGTCCCCAGAGCATTTACCCTGGGTTGTAATTTTCTGTCTGCACAATTAAAGACCTTCTCCAAAGAAGACATAAAAATGGCAAGTAAATGTCCAGTGTTACTAATCATTAAGGAAATGCAAATTAAAACTATAATACACCACTTTGCACACATATTATGACACTATTAAACAAAAAAGAAAAGAAAAGAACAAGTATTGGCAAGATTGTGAGGAAAACGGAACCCTTGTACGTTACTGATGGGAATGCATAATAGCGTGACCACTGTGGAAAAATGCTCTCATGATTCCTCAAAAAATTAAACGCAGAATTACCATACTACCTAGTAATTCCACTTTTAGGTATCTACCCAAAAGAATTGAACCCAAAGGCTGGAACATTATTTGTACAAACATTTTCATAGCTGTATTATTCACAATAGCCAAAAAGTAGAGGAAGCACCCCCAGTGACCGCTGACAGAAGAATGAATAACAACTGGTGTATTCATACTCAGTCTCAAAAAGAAAAAAAATCTGACACATGCTACAACATAGATGAATCTTGAAGACATTACGTTAAATGAAATAAGCCAGTCACTTGGCACATAAGGACAAATACTGTGTGAGTCCACTTATATGAGATACAGAGGGTATTCAAATTCATACAGATGATACAACAGTGGTTGCCACGGATGGTGAGGGTTGGGGAGGAATAAGTAGATATTGTTTAATGGGTACAGACAGAGTTTTAGACAGGCAAGGAAAAAAAGATGTATTGATGATTGCAGATCAGCATTAATGTACTTAATATCACAAAACTTTACACTTAAAAATGGTTAAAATGGTAAGTTTTGTTTTATAAATATTTTACCACAATTTAAAAATGGGGAAAAAATAGCTTACCAGTTCCTTAGCCAAGTAATCTGCAAGAGTATTTAGAAGCTTGTAATACACTTCAAACCAGGGAAGGTAACTGTAAAAGAATTATTTTAAAATGTATATACATAAAATTCAGAATCAGAAAACAGACAACATAAACATTTAATTCATATTAATTCAAACAGGTTAATCCTGAGGTCAAAAAAGAACTATACCCATTTTCTTTACTTTTTCAGTGAAGTTTTACATATTATTTATTACTAGTTTTCATAAAACAAATCAGAATCCAGAGTTCTATTTAAAAAGTTGTTCATTACATACTTCTATTTTATATCAGCAATATCTAAAATTATTTTCATGGTATTCAATAAAAGCATGCATAGGATAAAAATTAACCATTGTTAAAAAAATCACATAAAAACTAATTTTAAAAAGCTTTTAAAACAAAAGATTAAAAATATCTCCTTTTAAAATGTTGCTGGAGTATATAATACAACAGAACTATGTGTTTTTCAGTTCTTCAGAAATGATGTTTAAGAATGATGGCAAATTTCAAAATAACTCAATATAAATATCAAAAAGACTATTCTAAAAATTACAAAAAATTTTAAATGACTTATATATCAAAACCAAACATAATTCAAAATTTAATTCATTATACTAGATAAAAGTATAATTTTTATGATAGCTAAATATTAAATCTAAAAATCATTTATATAAAACAAAATCTACATTCCTTATTAAAAATTAAACTATTAGTATATTTTAAATGTCTAAAGATTTTAATGTTAAACTGTACACTTTTCATGTAGAATAAGAGGAAATCACAAAATACACTGTTGTTAATTATCAATTGACAAATACTCATCACTTTTCTTCAAAGCATTTACATGGTACTTTTAAGAGAAAATATTGTGATGCTTTTACTACATAATTGTGCACAGATTAATAGTACATACACATAACATGTAAAATTTAAAAATCAGTAAGTAGAACGTAGAAAACAGGATTCTAACAGGATTTTTTTCATATAATGTCTGATTTGTTAGTGACTATGAATGATGGCTTTTGAATCAGAAACTGAAAGTAGTAATAAAAAAGGACGTTAGGTAAACTACAGTATCTTTACTCAGCATAAAATTATAGAGTTATTTAAAATTATAATTATAAATACTAAGTAATGACATGAAAATTCACATGATACTTTAAAATATCTACCCAACTCTGGTTAAATCTAACATATTGACTGTATGTATTTATCTCTGTGTCCTCTGGAAATAACTATAAAATGACAATAAATGAATTGAAAGGGTATATATTAATGAAAACAAGCAAAATGGAGGAAAAAACAATAGCAATGCAGGTGGATGACTTTGTAAATAGGGTAAACAGACAGATAACTAACAGCAGAAGAAAGGAAACCAAAACCTAAATGCCATTAGAAAGGAAAAGGACCAGCAGAAGTGCTCCCTACAGAGTTCTGAAACACTGATTTAACAGTATCTCAAAGAAAAAAGCCCCTCGAAGTCCTATTCTCTTGGAATGAAACCCACATGCAATGTTTCCAATTCAGTTTAATACCTTCCTTTTGAATACAAATTAATAGCCAACCACCAGATATTTGAGGAAACACAAATACAAAATGGTGTTAATATTGAACAACATAAAAAGAACTACAAGAAAACATAGACAATACAAACAGCTGAAGAAAACTCCAAAACTTATATTTAATATCCTTAGAGCTGAATTAAGAGCAGGAGGCTATTAGACGAAACTAAACTTTTCTAAAAAGTAAAAATAGAAAATTTTAGATAGGAAGAAAGAGTTTTAAGAAATTCTAAAGTCTGAAAAAAATTAAAATCAATAGAAAGTTTAGATAACTCCAGAAAATCTCCCAGAAACTAGAATAAAAAGATAAACAATCCTTGTAAGTTGTATTCCTAGGTATTTTATTCTCTTTGTAGCAGCAAACCACCATGGCAAGTGTATACCAATGTAACAAACCTGTATGTTCTGCACATGTATCCCAGCTCTAGGAGGGAGATGCTAGAACAGGGTGTTTACAATAAGCATATTGACAACTTTGCCTGGAAGCCTGGAAAAATCTGGACAGGTGTGTGACACATCTGTGACAGTTTTTGAGGAATCTGAACATTAGAAATTACTATTGGTAATCTCAATTTTCCTATTTAAATTACTTAATTCTTCAAGCTCCAGTGCTTAGATGGCTATTTCACTATGTATATCTTCCACTTACAAATAAAACCCTTAAAAATTACTAATACTGTTATATTATTATCTAAATATAATGAAAATCAGTACACCACAGTTTCTGCATTCATGATAACTTAAAGAAATAGTTTTCATGCCAAATCTCCTTCTACCAGGACACATAATCCTTAGAGCACAATTGCTTTGAATTGTAGTCATTTCAAACTCACATTTCAACTTTTAATAGCCCAAAGAAATTGCTATTTCCAGACAATTTCAATGTATAATGTAGTTCCGACCTAAAAATTCAGATAAGATGAGACCTAATCTATTCAAAAAATGTGCTGGTCTATTTCTATACAACTCAAGGAGTTTTAAATAAAGCCAAATGTATTGATTGTAGGTGGCTGCATGTCTACCTATTAATGCTTACATTGTCATTTTCACCTTATTTAAATAAAGTGAGGCCTTTGGTAACCTGAATTTTTCTTTCCTGGTCTACTATAAAAACAAACAAACAAACAAACAAACAAACAAAATATATATATATATATATATAAAACCAACACTTTTCTCCATCTACATATATATCATAATTATGTTTTTAGAAAGTGAGATAATCTTTTTCCTTTTCTAGACCAAAAACTCTTAACATTTCTTTCAATGTTCTGGTTTTCTGAACTTTATATTATTGTTTTTCACTGATTATCTTCCCCATTTAATTTCCTGTCAAATTGCAAAGGCACATCAGAACCAGATTTTTCCTTAAGAAGCTAATTTATACAGATAAATATAATTTATCTGTAAGGTTATATCCTTGTCTTTGAATAAATAATTGATTAATATACCCATATTTAGGTTACTTTAAAAAATTTAAACAATTTTTATTTGTGCTAGGCATTTTGGTATCTACGTAATTATTACTGTTTTTAACATGTCCAAGAATAATAAGTTTTATTGAATATCATCCTGGTACCAGGCTATGACTTCATCAATAAATTAAACTAATACTGTTTAGAAATAAGCTTTACTCTTATGGGATATTTCTCATAGTCATCTCTAAGGCCCCAAAATACTTTATTATTTCTATTTGGGGAGTATAACTCACTAGTTAGTTATACATCCATCTGGGGGTTGAGAGCAGAATCTAAGAATCACAGAATTTATGTGTTAAAACAATTGGAAGTGCAGGAAGTAATATTACTTAAGGGGTAACTATATGAATGACAGTTTGTTGGATACTTATATGTACTATCTCATTTAATTCTTACACTAATGCTTTGATACATACTTGACTAAACTAAGATAAAGCAACGTATCTAGGGTCACAAAGCTATGGAATAGCAATCTTGGGATTAGAACCCTAATCAACCCGAGTAATATATGCTCAGGGGTCTGCCACAGACAGTCTATCACCCTATCTTGGCATGTATTTCCATATAGCGAGCCTTTTAATAAACATGTTCAATGACCAGCCATTTCAGGCAGCTAAATGAACTGAGACAAAAATCATTCTGTTGTAATCTTAAATCAGCCTGCCTATATGTTCTATCCACTGAAGCAAATTCTATCTTCCAAAATTCATCTGCTTATTTAATATCGAGAGCATTACCTTTATGACCTTTAAATTACAGTTTGTTCATAGGGGCAAATTTCCCAGCAAATAAAGATCCATTCAATGTGATTCTTTTAACTAACATTTTGGTAAATCCTTACAATTTTAGCTTGGTATTGCTTCCACGTTCATCACTGTCAATAAAAATTTTGAAAAGGGTATGGCTTGCAAAATTGTTCAAGATGCCTCCCAAAATAACACCAATTATTTATCAACATTCTAAGTATGAAAATTTAACCTAATCAAAAGACTTATAATTATATCATCTAACCAACACTCTACACATAATTTGTTTGTGAAATATTAGAACAGACTCAAATTTCAACCACAGCACTCCCTGATACATCAGTATGTACTATCACCATACTAAACCAAGTCTAGTTACAAACAATGCTCTCTTTGTAAACACATACTAGCTCTCAGTGATAACTTTCTCCTTTTAAAGAACACATATCATTCATACTTTTTAATAAAAACACCACATATAAAAGTGGAACTAATCTATAATGTAGCCATTGCTCCTAGAAACGTCAAGAAAGCAAGGACATTTTCTGTTGTAAACAAACAACATCTACAGCAAAGAATGCTAACTGGCTATTTGCAGGCTACGTCTAACCTAAGGGCATATTTTGTTTGGTCAACACTGTGTTGTTGTTTAATTAAATAAGTTGCCAACTTCCAAATCTGAGATAATTCACTGTAAAAATCCAGACTTCTTGTTCCTCTTAAAAATCAAAAGAACTAGTAATACTGGCCACACATTGTTCACTGCGCAACAAATGCCTAGGGCTGACTTGTGGCTTCTGTCTTTGAGTATGACGTGTACAATTCAGATCACCATACATAACCCAACTTCCTATTGTTAGGCACCTAACAGGTTTCTCTCATTTGAGTCCCTTACCTGGTCCACATAGGTAACCAAATTCATAACTCCTGGTAAGCAGCAACTGCTCAACAGTAAATCCACTGACTACTCACTTTCTTATCTGACAAGAAAATGATCCAGGGTATAGAAAATAGTCCAGCAATTCCAATTTTAACTATACTCTATGGACACTTTAAGTCACTTAGACTTAAATTTTAATTATACTCAATTTTAACTGTACTCTATGTACACTTTAAGTCATTTTGCCATATATTTAATATGGCAAAAAATAACATCATTTTTTAAAAGAAAATTATATCCAAAACTTTTGAAAGACACACACACACACACATACACACACACACAGGTAAAAAACACTAAGTTATATAAGCTTATGTTGCTA